CGTGTGTGTAAACAGTTTCCCAGCCTGAGGAATCCTTGTCTTGTGTGGCATAACTCAAATATGGCCTCAACACAATTTTGCAAACCTTAAAAACAAAGGGACATTCTCTTTATTTAAAATGAAATGTTTTGTTATACCTGTGTCTTGTTATATTTCTAGAATAACTCAAATATCCCCAAGGCATTGTCTTCTATATTGTATATTTTTCATTATTTTTAACATTTAGAAACTATTTTTTTAAATGTCACTCGTGAAACAAATTATGTTCATCTTAAGATAAAGCAACACTAAAATGTCTAACAAAATGTTGGAAATAAGAAGAAAAAAATAGTTTAAAACATTTCTTTTAATGTAAGATTTTTGAAACTCTTGGTAATCGTCTCCTTTACTGTAGATGTGCTTAGTTTAACATGCTGCTTGGCCACTTGTTGCGAAGCAGCGCGCGTTACCCTTCTCCAGATGCTTCGGGCTGCGATTGCAGGCCTTCGTCCTGCAGAATGTGTTACAGCATGATAAGTCAAGATCCTCTTTAAACCCTTCAAATGGGCATGCCCAAGGCAAGCTGTCCTATTTGTGTCCCTCAGCAGCTGTGCTGGCATTATGGACTGTTTTACTTTAGCACCGTATCATGGTATACGGCAAACGCAGTGAATCAAGCGGCGCGTGACGTTAATGCTGCGTGACGTTTGCTCATAGCACAGTCACACAGAGTTAGCCGCAGAATTTTACTAGCCTGTTAAAAGAGACGTTAAAAGGGAAACTGTTCTTTAAACTTGATTGTCCGCTGAAACAGTTTGCCATAAACAATTTGTTATTTTTAGTAGTAAATAAATCTCTTAATCCTCTCCCAGAGTTACAAACAAGCCTGTAAATAAAGATCAACGGAGAGTATTTTATTCCACTGTTGCAATGAAAGAACTTAAACAGTTGTTAGAGTTGAGGCAGAAACATCAACAGCTGCGTATTGTTAATAGAGCGGCGGTGCTTTTGTCTTGCGCATGTGAGAGTGTGTGATGGGCTTGGAGAGGCTGAGCTTGGGATATTTACCTGGAAAGATCATCTGCCCCCACGATAGATTTAAGACTTCTTGAGACAACCTAGCCTTGTCTGAGCAGTGGATCCATTTCTTGCTGATGAGAGATACATTGAGGTGCTGGAGTGTGTCCAAAGAAGGGCAATGAGGCTGGTGAAGAGGCTGGACCACGGACCTTCTGAGGAGTGGCTGAAGGAGCTGGGGTTATTTAGTCTGGAGAAGAGGCTCATGGGAGACCTCATTGCTCTCTACAACTACCTGGAAGGAGGTTGTAGTGAGGTGGGGGTCAATCTCTTCTCCAGAATAACTCTGTATAGGACGAGAAAATGGACTCATGTTGCACCAGGGGACGTTCAGGTTAGACAGTAGAAAGAATTTCTACATGGAAACAATAGTCCAGCATTGGAACAGACTGCCCGAGGAAGTGGTGGAGTCACAGTCCCTGGCACTGTTCAAGAAATGTGGCACTTAGGGACATGGTTTAGCCCGCATGGTGTTGAAGAGCTTACAGGTATACTTGATGATCTTAAAGGTCTTATCCAACCATAAGGATTCTGTGATTCTAAGTGTTCTTTGGAAAAGGCATTTGAACCTGTGTGTCTGCTGCCTGTTAAGTTTGGTGCATTCACATCTCCTTTGTTAACAGATAGAAATGCCATTTACTGCATTTTTCAATAGGCTTCTCTTGTAGTTGAGTTCACAAAAAACTTCACAGATGGAGGCAAGCCAAGTGGAGGAATAACCACTTTATGGATCTCAATCAATATAGGAAGTGAGCTTGGAGCAAATTACTTATTCCTGTGGAAAAGATGTTCCTGTACATGCCTAGAAGCAGAACTTTAAATGACCCGGGGGTTTAAAAGCCAAGTCTCTGGTGTGCTAGGCAGCTCTCAGGTCTGCAGACTGATGAGCAGAGATTTTCAGATCCACATTTCTGTTGCTTGATTTCAAAACCATGTATAAACAAGTTCCCAACCAGCAATGCTGAGATACTGCATCAGTCCATTGGTTTCAGGTGTTTTGCACTGTGCTGTGGAGCTACCTCCAGGGAGCCCCTCTGCGGTCAAACCATTGCTGGATTCTAGTTATCTCACTCTTGGAGAGGAGCCTTCAGAGCCTCCCACAGCCATTACCGCTTTGACACCTTGTCAAGCAAAAAACTGACTGGTTGAGCGCCTCTTAATTCTCTCCATTCGGGTGTCACAGGAAAGGTGTCACCTGTACTGCCAGAGTAAGCACAGGGGATGTCTAGTAAGCACAGGGCCTGGCTGCTGTGCATTCGGGTCTTTTTTTCCTTTCAGGAAAACTGTCAGCTATTACTCTCTATGTTGCAGCTCTTGTACAGTCTGTACAAAAAACCTCTATAATCCAGCCCTGTGTTTTAGATACCCTGGAATGTGTTAAAAAGCCAGCTGAAGATGGCGTAAGGCCATGATGACATGCGTTAATGTGCCTGAAATGACATTAGTTGCTACACTTTGGCAACTGAATCGTGCCCTATGTGACTAACCTCTCATTTATGGATCTAGGGAGATCAGATGTGTCTGGGTTGTCAGATGTGTCAATATCTGGGATTATCAAATGGAGTCCAGGATACGTCACAACACTAAGAAGGACCTAGTCACGGTAGCTTTTGCAGTGGCTTTTGGTGCATGAGAAGTTTTGGTACATGAAAAGTTGGTCCTACAGTAACATTAAGCAACTGACTCCTTTTTCCGGCATATCTATGTTATTTAAGGATGAATCAAGCTCTGTTTTATGCTTACTCTATTGACTAGGGCTCTTTTGGGAAGTTGGATCCATTGCTTATGCTTAAATTTAAGTATGTAACCTTCAGCTAAATCCTACCTTTAAATTCCTGTGATGAGCGGGAAAGCAGCACCTTAGGTTTGAGCATCAACCATGACTTTTTCTTCAGTACATGTAATAATGTTGGCAGCATCGCAGTGCCTTGAACATCTGTATCCAACTTTAAAAAGTGTTCCATTTGCTCTCAAGTTACAATTATTTTGTCAGCTGCCACAGCGTCACCCTTATTTGAATAAATCTTTTTGAAATTTTATTTTCTTTGAAAAATTTCTCTATGATAGTGCTTGTTTTACTCTTTGCCTATGTTGTGCACACTCTGCTGCTAAGTCCAGAAAAGAGATCTATCACATACTGTTCTTACATTTTTTTCCATTTCCTTAGCTATTAACTTATCTTTTGCAACAATATGAACATATGCAGCAACTTGTGGTGGCATTTTTTGGACTCAGCTTTTAGAACTATGGGTCTTTCTGCTTCTGTCATCCATACTGGGCCACTTCTGTTCGTGACATGTATGCTTACAGAACACAGTCTGCCCTTCACAGATACTACAAGAATACATGCATAGAAGATGCAGGAAAAAGGGAATTCCAAATGTTTCCCAATTACAAAAGATCCGGGAGAGGCTATCTGGGAGATGTATGCTTGCCTATTTTTACAGTTTTCCCTTGGTATCTTCTGTTACTCTCTTTCGGAGACAAGACTTTGGCACATATAGACTTTATACTGACAGAGAGTAGCCATTTCTGTGTTCTTAAATCCATTTTTACCACTCAAAAAGATCAGAGGATTGGTGATCTTATGAACTATAGGGAACATAACTAAAAATAGCTTAAAAAAAGGTTGCTGTTTTAAGCCCAACAGAAAGTCAGCATTTATCTCCTAGTCAAATGACTAAAAAATAAATGTTATTTTTATTAGTGTCATACTAGCTAAAAGGTCCCCAATGTGTATAATCAAAAGAGCAATTAATGTATGCAGTTTTATACTCTGTTACGAAACCATTCATAGACATTGATACTTTCTGCTCCAGAATATATGGAATTGCTTCTAGGCAGTGATATAGTACTATTCAGGGATTTGTACCAGCAAGATCCTGTATCCTGACAAAATCTTTAGGTTTTAGTAGGACTACTGAAGACAGTGAGATCAAATCACACTGATCCAGTTGCTCCTAGACATGCTAACGTTTGGCACATAATAATAGTAAAACTTAAATAATGGATAATACATTGTTCAAGGAAGTTGTTATATGCAACTGGGTCAGTTGTATGCATCCTTAAATATGCAACAATTATGTAAGCTGTATTTACAGGCTGTGAAATCTGTGCCTTGAAAACACAGATTCCAACTGAAAAATTAAAATACAAGGGATACCGTTATTCAGTGTGTTAGCTCTTGAGGAGGATGATGTCTTCCTAAAACTATAAATGACCTTTAGTAAAGGAAATGAAGCTATGCCTTTTCCCCAAAAAATATTAATACAGCACAAGTAAATTTAGCTCCTAAATTGTCCTTATAGCATCATACTGAACTTCAGAGTACAGGTGAATTTACTGCATGATGTTTTAAATCCTACCTATATACTATTTAAGCAGAGTGGAGATGCTGTCCTTGGATTTAAATAAAATATACATATGAAATTATGATGCATAAAGCAAGAAACAGCAGCTTATCACTAAAATTCTGTAAAGTTTGCCTACAACATTGTGTTAAAAAACATGTAGTTGCATAACTGGTAGAGCTAAAAGTCAAGTGGATCAATTATGTTTATAAAGAGTAGTTAAAGATCTTCATTTTTCTTTGTAAAGATTTTGAAATGTCCCCAATTCAGTGAACATTGAAATTCTGTTTGTATTAAGGAAGAGTTAAAACATGTAAAATAGTTTACATTTCTAGATCTAATTCTAAAGCCTTTCCTGTCTTTTATTTAGCCTCTTCAAAGTGGACATGGGTTTTAAAATCAGATACACGTTTCCATTTCTAATTGAAATTGATTCATCCTGGTTCAATACTATGCCAACACTCAGAACAAGTGATTATGGAAAAAATGGGAAGTTTTTCATACTTAATCATAAATTCTGTTGCTAAAGCAAATTTTTAATAACTGAATCAAGCAAACATGTATAGCTTACAGTCTGCATTCTTGTTTCCACAGCGCATACATAATAACAGACTTCATGGGCATCAGGAATGAAAATTTTATGAAGGTAGCTGCAGTGGGAACCTGGATGGGAGATTTTGTCACAGCATGGATGGTAAGAAATATGATATTATTACATTTTAAAAGAAAAACAAAAATATGTTTGTTGGTTTCAAGGGAGAGAGGAGCTGGGAGAAGTGGAGGAAAAAGCCGGAGTGTCTTGAAGCAACACCAGTATTTCAATCCAGATAAGTAGAGAATTAACAAAGGCTTAATGGTAGGGCATGTAATTAGTTGGAGTCCAAGAGAGTGTCAGTTAAGATGAATCAAAATACAACTTTGTTCCTTCTGCTGTGAGTGAAAACTTTTCACTGCCTTCTGTGAGGACAGAACTGTGTCCTTTCTCTATTATGAAACTAGCATAAAGACTTGACATAGAATGAAACAGTAGTGCCCCAAGTGAAACATATTTAGTGAAAAGGAGAAAAGAAGAAAAATTATCTGAATGATGTGATCAAGAAGGATGGAAATGAAAGAAAGAGAGCCGGTTACATCCCAGAACATGAATATAGCCTGCTTGAAGTGAAACTATCAGATTGTTTGTCTCTAATTTAGATTTTAGAAGAGTAAACTCTAACAAAAGATAAAATGTTTTCATGAAGCGGCTTTTCACTTGAATTACTATCTTTACAAAGGTACTCTCCTGAAATACTGGCAATCCAAAGATCTATATATTCAAAGAAACAGCAAATGACAGCTAACTCTATGTGCAAATATGTTTTGATTGTTCTGGAAAAGCATTTTTTAAACATCAAGTAATGAAAAGTGAATGCATTTTTATTTTTTATTTTTTTAGTAAGATTAGATTTTTATGATTAAGAATTTTAACAGTTACAATTGTGACATAAATAGTTGAAATTAGTAGGATATTAATTTGAATTGGGGAAAGAAGAGTTCTATGATGTTTAAGATTACAGAATTGTTTTAAATTAATCTATTTTTTTTCTAATGATTCATTGACGCCTGAGTTTATTAATGCAAAATGAATAACATAAGATTGGAAAGGTTCATTAACACAGAGAACATTATCTGAGAGTGAATGTTTATCAAATATCATATTCAAAAGAATGGAGAAAAGATCTCAGCATTTGTAAAATGTAGCTAGAGACTGCAGCAATCTCAGTGTAAGCAAAGAAACAAGTCGGGGGAGGAATTTCAGGATTGTGGTATGTGTTAGGATAAAATATTATAGGAATAATTTGAAGTAGAAATGACTCTGAGATTATAAGACTGGAGTCTCTAAGACTATAAGAATAATCTTAGAAGAGTCATTTGAGTTTCTCTCAATTTATCCTCCATGCATTTCATATTTGAAACTTACTGTACAACAGGCAAGGAAAATAAAGAACATCAAGGTTTTTGTCAGCATATTGTGCACTATGTGTCAGTGGCTCCTCTGAGACAAATTGTGTTTTATGAAATGGTGGCCATGAAAATTCAGTACATAGCGAATCATCTGTTCAAAGAAGCTTGCAGTACAAACTTTATAGAATTGGTACATTGACTGATGTTATCAATTAATGTGGATTTCTAGCAAATTAATAGTAAAATTCATGGCTACTTCTAAGCATCACTAGCTTCACACCTTTTTAATGCTCTTCCACAGTTTTAAACAAATATATAACGAAAAGTGATTGATGAGCTAAACTGAATTGAGAGGGATCATGTTCATCATGCTTTGGGCTCCGTTGGTAAATACTGCTCACACTGCATTAGGAAACTTTTTTTTTTTCTTTTCTTTTCTTTTTTGCTTGCAAAAGTATTGTCACGGGGAAACATGCAGCACTATATAAAACACATAAGCCTTAAAGTGATATGGAAATTGCTGAGCTCAAGGGATGTTAGAAGCCTGATCCGTTTGCATGTATTCAGAGCCTTCTCAGATCTTCTGAGCAATGGAGGCAAAACTAGATTATGCCACAGCAGGTTTCAGTGCTGGATGGGGTTGTCAATAAAGAACTCAGAGGGAGACCAGGTTTGGCAGAGGCAGTTCGGAAATGGTGGTGGTAAACTAGGCTCATTCTGTTAGTTTTCAGGAAGAGCAGAGTTCCTGGACTGGGAGAATCAATGGGTTTAGGAAATGTTTAGGGTGCAGGAAAGGAATTAATAGCTGTGATGGAGGCATGGTTGTGGAGTTAGGAAACTCAGTGGAATTTTAAGTCTCTGGGTAGGGACAAGGAGTTGACAAAGTTGTTTCTCTCCTCTCACACATATCTTTTCACCAGTATTACTTTGACTGCTCTTCTTCCCTCTTTTGGGATATGTAGAATCCCACACTCAGACAGTTTGCTCCCTAGCACCAACAGATACCTTCCCCTATCCCATCACTACTTCCAGCCCAAGTCCTCTTCAATACTGTACCTTACCTGCTTGTGTCTGCTATATTGCTCAGATAAAGAAGAAAGATAAAGGTTGGAACAGAACAGAGACATGAAATGAAATGAAAAAGAAGGCTCAAAAAAAAACAGACATGTCAGGCCAAGAGGTATTAGTTTCAGAGGAGAGCATATGCCTTGGTAGAAACTTGCCACACAGCCTGAGCGTTTGGGTCATATAGTCACATGATAACTAGTCCCATATAGTCACGTAACTTGATAACTTAGATCACTGTGAAGAGCACTCATCTTTCCTCAACTTCAACAGTCCTATCCAGATGAAAATAAATTCTCATGTTGTTTATGGTATTTGAATTTGCTTGACACTCTGCATGCAAAACCCGGAATAGGAGTGATATCAAAGTGAATCAAATCATCTCTGGGATTACTGCTTATTATGAAGTCCTCCAGTCCTGTTTCGGAAAAAAAAAAAAAAAAAAAAAAGGGATCTTAGTACATCTTCACATTCACTGTAGTGTTTCCATTTTCCAACGTTTAAGGAGTTTCTGCAAAGTCACTCACCCACCAGAAAATTAAAAAGTGGATATTGCCTTTGCTGTATCTGAACCATACTGGAATTAAGATCTTATTCTCTATTGGGAACTTTGGAAGTTAGCAAAGATAAAACAAAACAGATGGAATTCAATTTTCAAAATGAGTAATCAGTAAAAAATAATATTGCCCCAGTACAGCAAGAAGAGGTTTATTAAATCAGGAAAGTACTTTAAATGGGAAAATATATTTTAGATTGCTGTTTGTTTTGGATTTAAAAGGCAGAAGTGAACCCCCCATCACCATTTCTTAGTCCTTTGGCCAATTTGATGGCAGGTTGTGACTGAATTCCCAATAAAATCAGTGATACTCTTCTAGCGTGTAATGGAAGTGGGGCTGCACTGTAGCTGCACAAGGAGTGAGTGTGGGAAGAAGCTTCTTCCTTTGTACCTCCAGCTAGGAGCTTCTAGGACTTGTAACCATCCTTTCTGAAGTCTGTTGGAAGTGTTGGCTGTTCTAAATAGGACTGTGAAGGAGGGACTAGGTTCAAAACACTCTATCTGCACTTTTTCATCTTTGCAGGCAGGGAAGTATATACTGCACCTGCTTTGACATGCTCTTCTGCACTCATATAATGTGCATTCTGTTATCATAGACAGTGGTTTAAAGGCAGAAAGCACAGGGTTTGGCACAGCAGAATAGCTTTGAAAAAAGGTTGGATTTCACCCAGACAAGCCCATAAACCGGCAATTAGGGCCTTCTTTTGGAAGGATGTGAGCAGGTTGAGGAAGGAACTGATTCCAGGCTAAAATTTCTGACAGTTAATTTTGGGTAGACTCCTGACCATCTCTGTAAAAACAAATAAGCTGCTGCAGCTGTGAGGCCCAGGCCTTGAGCGCAGGTAAAACATGCTCAAGGGAATGCCTTCAGGAGTGGATGGTATCGCTGTAGAAGGCAGAGCACATCGAGAGTCTCCTCCATCCTTTGCAGTCTCCTGCTGAGGTAGGAACACCCCTCTTTCCTGCTTTTTTCCAAACATTGTCAGCTTTTAGACTGCTAATACTGTTGCTCTCAGTCTTCAGGTTTTGTGAGCTCTCTGAAGGTCACATACAGGCATTGTGCTATGAGTGGTACTTATACCACATGGAGAGATTTGCACACCTACCGCTATTGCTGTTCTAGACAACTAGTCTGTCTGGGTGGTCCTTGACGTGGTTGACATCAGCATTTGATGTTCTTAAGTGAGCATGTCTCCCTGAAAACAAAGTAGGAATCAGGTTCTAAATCTGTAGATCCATGAAACAAAGCTTTTTTTTTTTTTCTTTTTCCCTGCCCTGTCATGTGCACTCGGTTAGAGTTCAGGGTGCATCCATAAGAACTCAGCAATCATATCTGGTCAGACCAAAAATACATCCAGGCTAGCATTCTGCCTCCAACTGCAAGTATAAGCAGAAGCCTATATAATAGTAGGAGCAAACTAATCTTATATGATAGTTTCCTCTGATTTCCTTTGAAACTGCGTATGTTTTTGTTTTTAATGAAATATTTGCTACTCTATACTTGCCCAATCTCCTTTTCAGTCTAGGTACTTTTATAGTATCCACAGTATTCACTGGCAATAAGTGGTTAATGTATAAGCAATTACTCACCTTCTTTTGTTTGTTTGTTTGTTTCCTGCTAACTTTGTTTGATGCCTTTACTGAAGAGACAGCAAAAAATATATCGTTGTGCTCTTTCTTACTGTTGTAGCCATGTATCATATTCAGTCTAATTCATCTCTTTTTCAGATTGATGAACTCTAGCTTAATAACTTGTTTTGCCTGAACGAGCTGTGCTATTTGCCCTTCTTTGGACATTTTTTTTTGCAGTTTTGATATATATCCACTTTTTTTTTTTTTAAACAATATGGAATACTAAGAAGATGTTTTCATGGTACTGGAACCTCAAAATTTTGCTTCTGGGCTATAATAGTTAGCTCAGGGTCATCATTTTATATGTTAAGCTAGAATTATTTTTTTTCTGTGCCTCAATTTTTATTCTTCTACAATTTAATCTGTTATTTTATTAGCCAATGAGTTTTTTTCTCATAAAAGCCTCCCTGAGTTTTTCACCATCAGCTCGCATCTTTATTACTGTGAATAACTTAATATCATTATAAAACTTTCTCATCTCACTGCTCATCCTTTGT